GTGTCTCCCGATGGAGTCTTTTTGGAAATAGCGGATCCCCTCATCTCTCCTGAGGAACGCTTCCATGAAATATGGAGAGCGGAGGAGACCGGCCTCAATCATTTTTGCAAACAAGATAAGTGGCTCTATCCGAATCAAAGGCAAATCCAACTCGTTGCACGGGTTGAACGGAAGCTCGAAATGGCCCTCCGCTCCCGATACACAGATGAGAGTCTTTCTGCACTGAGACCACAATGGCGGCAAATCGCCTTTGCTCCAAATTACAATACCAATTCCGGCCATTACTTTATGAATGTTCAAGCCCTTAAAAAACTGAATAAGTTTGATAGTGTAACAATAGTAGCTAGCCCTTCTTATAAGCGAATTGAAGCGGCCGTAACGGGATTGGCGTCGCTTGACTTAAAGCGGTGGCGCTAGGCTAGTCATAATAAATAAAGAATAAGGGGTTGGTTTTTCGTTCGCAACAAGGTAGCCGAAGGGAAATCCTATGGCTGGATCGAATCCGGAAGGAAGCCTCGCATTGCAGGTTAGCGCTGTAGTTTTCTTTCTTTTGACTTCTTCCCTACCCTAAGACCATGAATACGGGCTCAAGCTAAGACGGAGGTTCGAGCTTACCCAATCCTAAATCTTGTTCCATCCTAAGAGATTTATGCTTCAGCTTCTTCCGATGCCGAGTACGATTCTTCTTATGATTCTCAGTCTGATTACGCGGTGGCTATTCAGTTAAAGCTCCCCGAGGCATAAGATGGAGTTAAGGCTCCTGGTCCCGCTACCAATGATCTTGCTGATTCTCTTTCCGGTCGTCCGCGTAAATCGCTTTATCGACTTACTAGGGTTGGTGTTGCTACAAGCTCCTTTCCTCTCGTTCTGATGCTAGCCGAACTACTTTCCGTGGTTCTGATAGCAGCCAAACTTCATCTTCCGGTCTTATCAATTAGCCGTTAAGACCCTCTCCTTTCAGTCGAGCTTCTTCGCCCCTCTCTGATCCGCTTTTCCCTTTCTGCTGTTAAAAGATCTATCCTCTTCGCGACCTTTCACCGGGATCAACTACTTGCTTGTTATTCTTCAGGAATCAGCTCTAAAGACCCGCTACCGATGAGGGGCTGGTTTTCTTTTTTGACAGCATGGGTTGGATAGCTCACCGGTCATGGTCAATTGCATCGAACCTGAGGCTTTTATAAAGCTAGGTTTAGGAAGGAAGAAGGCCGGATATCACAATCATGTAAGTCATAATAAAAGGTGAAGGCGCCCTAGAACCAGGACCCAATCGACAAGGAAAGGCTACTGAGCCACTTGGCTTCGTTCACTCCTAACTAAAGCTGTGAATCCCGGAAAGTGAACTCCGAAAGAAGGTACCTCGGGTGAGGAGGAATTGAATCTCTTATGGTTTTCGCTTTTCTCTTGGAGTTCCTATCTTCAGAGGGTGTCTTAGAGCTACACATCTTCAAAGCTTGGCTGATAAAGTAAGGGCTAAACTCTCAGTTCAGGATGGAAGGGTAAATCCCTTTCTTTCTTTAGCAGGCAGAGTCCACTAGTTCAATCAGTTATTCAAGCTATGTTACTTCATTTTTGATTTACAAATGGCCTGGGTGGGTGATGTAATGGATCCGAGATTTTCTTTATATGGTCTAGGGATGCTCGAGAACAATGCTTCACTTAGACTTAGACAAATTGATTGATGAGTTGTACTCCCAAGGCGTAATGCCGCAATAGTGGTACCTTCTAGTTAGGTCACAACAGTGTCATGGTTTTACCCGCATGTAACCGAACCTAGGTTATCTATACAATGTAGTGTTACCACATCTACCTGTATAGGTCTCGTACTGAATATGGGAAATTTACCGCCACTTACCCAACATTTTAATAGAAGGACAGACAGCGGGATCTAATTAGCTTAAGAATTCAACCTACTTCTACTGAACCTAACGTGATTGAATAGACGAGTTCTTTTCCGTGAATAACTTTCATAATTAATATATTGGAACGAGAAAGGTGTCAGGATCCCGGCTATTGTTTTTGCAGAAAGATTCAATTAGAATCGCCGCTTTTCGACGGAGATCGTTGATGGTATAATTTACCTGTGCTTGTGGTAGATCCACTTCTGCCACCTAGTTACCAATCATCAGCTGGGGGTGTCCTCTTTCGTTTTGGGTCCACTTGTAGTAGGTTGTCGGGGCGCGAATCCGTTGCTTTTTCTGTCAGCGGCTTAGTTTTCTCTCAATTATATCGACCCTGACGGTTGCGTTTTCAGTATGCTTCTTTCATTCCGGCTTTACGTCATAGGGGTGCTACAGCTATCGCTAGCCCTTTTTTTTGTTTTCCAGCTGCTCAAAGGCTTGATTCAAGATGTAGGGAATGCTTGATAGTGGAGTGAGGAACGTAATAGTCGATAGATACGAACTACACGGAGCAAAATCAATCGCTATCTCACTCTATTGACAGACTCTCTGATAGGTCCTTTGATACTCGTATAGGTGTGATTTGAATAAAACAACTTTTTAGTCTATCGAGGTCTATCGAGTAAGCCTTTAGGTGCTTCAAGAGCTCGACCGAAAGGAAAGGAACTAACCAAGCGAACTCCTGATTTCTAGAACTTTTGACCTACGACACAGGCTTCCCCAAACCGGCCTTCAAGGACAAATCCGCGGGGTCCCTACTAAGGGCCTTTTTCCACCCCCTTAGGTTTGGGAGAGCTAATGTTCCCAGTCGAGCAGATTTGAGCAAATTCACTTCTTTTCCTTCAAACAAGCAAGGGATTGAGCAAGACGCGCGAAAGCCGTTGCGCGTTAGCGCATCCGTTTGATTGCTGAAGCGAAGTGAAGTCAAAAATAAGGGAGAGGATCGACAAAGTTGAGTCGACTTACAAGGAAACAAACGAAGCGAAGCGCAGTGAAGTCCTGGTTGGGTCAATGTAATTGAGAGGAGTAGGATTATTGATGGACTGGTTCAAGCTTTCCTTTTGGGAAAACAGAGCCTTGAGAATGTCGAAAGTAGTTGGTTCAGGCGGTACCGGGACTTCTTCATCTGAGCGTACTTCCATCAGCTTCAGGAAGTGCAGTTGAAGTAGAGTCGTATTACCAGTAGAACATTCATTCGACCTAGTACCAGCGCCTGCCCTATGAGCTAACTTTCCATTTGACGGCAAAAGAGCAATAGGACCTGTGAAAGTAACATCTTTGACTTATATACACGAGAGGATTTTCTTAATCAAGCCAAGAGGAATCGATGACACAGTCCATACCAGGTAGATTTAGGAGGGCAGTGAATGCCCGGTAGCAAAGGTGCGAAGCAGACTCGGCTTAACTTCACTTGAGTTCGGTTTCCCCTGTAAATAATGAAATAAGCTTTTCTTCGCCCTTTGTAGATAGGGGAGCCGGTAATGAACTTGGTCTAAAAAGAAGAGAGAAGTGGGAACAAACTCCGACGTCAGGACACAGACCCCGTCTAAGTAGAAGTCCACCTTGTATCAGGATCAGGATCCATGTAATTGAGAAACCTTCCTCCAAGAATCTCGTAAGCAGCATTCTCCAAAGATTGAGAAAGAAGAAAGGGTGGGTCCCCCCATAGTTGTAATCTTCTTTCTAAACAACTCATTTGTCTTCTTCTTTCCGCGGTCTAGCTAGTTCGAATAGGAGCGAACGAACGGGCGAATGGGCGAACCAGAATCTCCTTAGCACAAATAGAAAGATGAGAGGTTCGACGAAGGTGAGGCAATGAGAATTGTTGATGATTCGGAGGAACTCAAATGTGGTGCGGCTCTCTTCGACCAGTTCAGGTTCGATGCAATTGACCTGCCTGTTTCGGAAAATGCCTTGCTGGCGAACTTCGAAGACGACTCGAGAGAGAATTTGAAACCCTAAATGACCGCAAGGGAGCTTAGAAATGCGTACTTTCTCGTTCTTTTCCGATAGACGTCCCCGGGTGATATGCTCATGAAAGGGCTCAACAAAAGATTGAGAAAAGGTTTAAAGAATCAAAATCCACCTCCGCGGCAAGTTATATTAAGGTAAGCTTGAATCTTCATTAGGCAGAGCAACTAGCTGCTGCAGGATTGGACGTCTATCTCCCCATCTTTCTTTTTTCTATGATCTTTCGAGTCTTTCCTTAGACAAGGCTACGAATCGAAGAGCATTGATCAAAAACATGCTATTGAATCCACTGCTAGTCTTTCTCAATTACACCTTTCCTTTTTCACTCTTTGACTTCAAACAAGCAAGGGATTGAGCAAGACGCGCGAAAGCCGTTGCTTGTTCAGTGAAGGATAAAGTATTGGTGGGATGGAGCTTTATTCCCTACTTCGTTCATTCTTCTTTAGCAGCGGTTAGCAGACTCAAGGGGCTTTTGGGGAAGTGACGTGAACCGCAAGACCAGAGAAAGCGAGTTCAGTGCTTTGCTGGTTACGCTCCCCTTTAGGGCTTTTTTAAAAATAGTGGATTATATCACCCGGTAAGAAAGGAAAAAGCCAGAGCGGAAGAGCAGGATCAAGATCTGGTGTCGAAGAATCGATACCGAAGTCTGTAGCAGAACTCTCTTTCTTTTTGAGTGGCTTCAGCTTCATGAGAGGGAAGAGAGGAAGAACCACAGCTGCTCTCTTTCCTCATCAGCCAACCAAGATCCTTTTCGACGAAGGTTCAGTTTCAGCCGCCGTAAAAAAGGAGGGTGCTTGATCACTTAGACCATTTGATACCGATCATCTTGCCCATTCACAGATAAGAAAGAAAAGAACTCGTTCCCTTTTCGCTTGCCCAGCAGAAAGAATGTAGGAATTCTTTGGATGCTTTCTTGGCAATTCGGCCATTTGCTCTAGCAACCGCTGAAGTAGCTACCAAAATCGGCCTGATGAGGGCGCCCTCACCCCAAGCCCAGTGTTGAGACCTCTGAAAACTTTGATTTTCTGACAAGCTTAGCTAGCGCCATACCTGTAGTAGGAGATCGTTGGATTGACGAGAAAGATCCCTGACGCGGTTGAGGGGCAGCTGACCGATAGACTTCTTAGAATCTTAGAAAGAAGCTGCGGACTCCCGCCCGGCGCACAGCGCTCTTTCGGTCGGGAATTCATCGTCTAGCTTGCCTTCGTATAGGGTCCGTACTCTAACTCCTATTCCCTTGCTCTTGCCCCGGTCTTTCTCTAATTCAAATACAAATAATAGGGAAGTGGCGTCTTCAATCACACTCACATATTTCGTATAAAGTACCACCAGGGCCACCTTTAGAGTTTCACAAGGTCGCTCTCTAGTGCTAATCATCCGGCCTGCTGCCTTCTTTCGGGTGATTCTTCTTTAGCAGCTTGAAAATGGGTTTACAGGTTGCAGTGAGGTTTGAGATGAAGCGGGCAATGTAGTTGATCCTTCCCAGAAAAGCCCTTCTTTCTTTCTCGGTTCGTGGGATCGGCATCTCCTGAATGGCCTTCACTTTATTTTATCGTGGTCAACTTCGATTCCTTTCCTCGTTTACTGACAATGAAAACCAGCAATTTCCCTGATTTGGCTCCGAACGTACGTACACTTGGCCGGATTCAAAGGCTGCTGGTACTTCCTGAGTCGATCGAAGAGCTTCTTCAAATTAACTAAATGATCTTCTTACTGCCTAGATTTAGCATGAATGTCATCTACATACACCTCGATCTCCTTATGCATCATATCATGAAATAGAGTGACCATGGCGCGCTGGTAGGTTGACCCGGTTTAGACCAAAAGGCATCACCTTGTAGCAGAAAGTGCCCCATTCTGTAATGAAGGTTGTCTTCTCTCTGTCTTCCTCAGCCATATTAATCTGGTTTGTAACCCGAGAATCCGCCCATGAAGGAGAGAATTCTTCATGTCCCGCAGTATTGTCGACGAGCATTTCTATGTGTGGTAGCGGAAAATCATCTTTCAACCTTTGTAGTTGAGTATCGGTACTCGAGTTCCATGTGAAAAGGACAGATCAGTCGAAGGCGGATGCCTTTAGTTGGTGAGGGCCTACCTTCGGTGAGCTACTTCATTAGGATTGGGTGGGTGGAAATTTCGAATAAGGTCCACCCCTTGGATCAGTGTCAAATTAGGTATTATGTATGTAAGGTATACACCCTTGCTTCTTCCCTGCTTTGATGTCTGAATCCAGCTCGAGCTATGGGTTGGGCGGGTAATAGACCGTCCAACATAGCTCTTTTGGGGGATCGAATAATAAGAATTTCCGATATCGGGAACTCACTTTATCTACGAGATGTTTCCGGCCGGGAGGGATAGAAGGAATAGCCGAAGGCAAGACTGAATGATTCATAAATCATAGGCAGGGGGTTGAAAATCTCAAACTAGGTTGGTCGAAGAATAGGAGGACAATTCGGTTGAAGCTGCTATGCCCTCTTATTCGAGTCCTTTTATTGCAAGTATACACGATGGAAGCATCCCAAGCCCAACAGAGTTCCGATTTTTCAGGGATGCCCGAGAAGCCATCTTCTTCTATCTCCGGTGCCAGGGAAGGTTCGAAGTCAATGGAAGCTATCGATGGAAGTGACTCCGTATAATAAGGAAGTGGACCGGGCGCGACTAATATCATTTCAGTGCCAAGCGGAACCAAGGTGATCAGATGCTAGCTCGTGAAATCAAGACTTCGATCAAATCTAGCTCCTTCCCTCCCCTCTCTGCCCTTATGGCACAACACAGACTCCCGCTCAAAGAGCACACCACCCTAATCCATAAACCAAGGAAATGCCCGCCGTCATGCTTTTAAACGAGATAGGCCTTCCACCTGCCTGGGGCGATTGATCGATTCTGCCGTTGACTCTAGGAACGAAGGAGAAGCTGTGAGCAAATCCACTTCTTTGATAACTTGTTTTAGGTTTAGAGACTAGAAGTCAATGCTCAAGTCCGTCTCGGGAAGCCAAGGTTAGTTTATTTACTCGCTTCGGGCTAGGGGGGACAGACTCATGGATATTTCTCAATAGTCAGAATTGAAAGACGGCAAGGAAATGAGGAGCGAAGCGAGACGTACCTACTTAGATACAGGCAAGCAAGTACAGAAGTAGGGAAGCTCAGCCTCAAACAACTTAGTAAATACTACTCTCTACCAACAGCGAGAAAGACATATAGCCAGAAAGAGAGGAAGACAGGAAAGCAGAGATAGATAGCGCGGCTTCCTTCTTATAGTAAGAAATACATAATGAGGAAAGAGAGGAAGGTCTGAGGCTACGAGTCAATACAATAACTGATCTATCTTCCCTTCCGGGGTGTGCTTTGAGTAGTTTGGTTCTTCCCCTTCTACTTCCAATGAAAAAGTCAGGGTGAGCTCGATCGACCATGGGTGTTTTCAGTAGTCAGTATATCTTATTCTATTCCATAACTACCATATTAATTCCCATCTCATTTACCAGGCGTTTTTCTGCCAGCCACGAAATAGAGACAATTCATGGCATGGGACGGAGGAATCCGAGCGATCGATATATACCTTTATCAGCCCCAACCCTTGGAACATTACAGTACTGCCCCAGGTGGACAAGGAAGAACCGACATCAAGGTTCCCAATATATTGGAGTTTAGTTGTTTTTCTGAAAAAAAAGAGCATCAATTAGGCAGGTAAAAGCCCCGTGTACTAATAATAAATGTGCTTTTCTTTTTCGTGTAGTTCTTAGCAAAGACTGGATAGCTTGCCAGTTTGTTTGGCGCAGCATTCTTCCAAGAAGCAACATCACTCATCCTCATACCGAGTAGAGCGATTAGTTGAGTCTACATTTCAATAGGAATCGGCATCGGAGCTCCATAGCACCGTTTCAGTCGAACGATCAGCAGGCCACGATAGCAGACAGAGGCATAGTCTTTATTAAGCAGAGATAGATGAGCTAATTGTTTTATCTTACTTAGTGTGGCTTACGCCATTCATTAGCGGGATCTTTCTCTCTCTCCCCAAGCCAGGATAGCCTGAATCAGATATTAGGGAAGGTGCCTCTCCACATTCAAGGACGGAGAGTTCTCTACCCATCTGTTTCAGTTCCTGGACTTGAATCTAAGGCTTTCCTTTTGCTTTGTCCTCCCCGTTTTGGGTGTCACTATAATATATGCACAGAATGTGTTCCTGGCTGTAATAAAATAAAAGCTTTGCTCGATTCCTAAAGAATGGGATAGACATGGCCTAGGAAACTTCTCTTGACCTTTGGGACTGGCAAGCCAACCTGCAGTAAAGGTAGATACTAAAAAGTAGAGTTCATCTGATTGAGAGCCGCAACCCACCAGTTCTCTTTAAGTCCTCAAGGAAGTACGTAAAGTTAAGAGAGCTAGATTCATTACTTGATAAAAGAGCTGAAGCTGATAGAGATGCTTCTATTTGAATATATCTCTCCCTCTTCTTAATTGATTGTACCGGTTTTTCATCTCCTTCAGGTTTCAAGTCTTGGATTTGCTCCTCATTTTTCATTCTCTTCTGATTCTGGGTAGCTTTTATTCCTATAAATAGCGAATCTTTCATCTACAGAATCGAAGGAAAGATGAGTATACCGTAGATGATCAGCACAACTCTCTGCCACGTCGCTCATCTAGAGGTTTTAAAGAAAGAATTCCCCGTCCGATCTAAGAATAGAAAAGAATGTTCTTCCTAACATTCAAACCTTTACTAGGTATTTGTCTTGCAATGAGTCACCCTAGGAAAAGAACTGCTTTCCGGCCTTTCACTTGTCGCTTGGGGAACAGTCTCTAGATGTTCCAGTAGCTTTGCTTTATTCTAAGTGATTTTTGTACAAGACCAGCTCGAAGCCTGGATTTTTTGTTAGATTCTTTCCTTTTCAAAGATGCGCTCTCACTCCTACTACCAGAAAGTGATTAAAGGCCTTCATAAGCTTCTCTTTGTTGTTTAAGAGAAGTATTCGCCTTAGAGTCTCAATATGAGAAAGGATAGGAAGCGGGCAACATGAGTATGCTACTTCCTGCGAGAATGGCCCTCCCTACTACAGACTACGCTCGAAAAGTTGGTGATAAGCAAGAAGAAAAGAGAAGTCCCGAGAAGTCAAAAACTTAGCCTTTCTAAAGTGAAAGTAGTGATTCCCTTTCTTCCTCATTACGCTTCGCTTGACTTTAGTTGGGAAGAGTCAGATTCATATATAGAAATGAAAACACCCCGTAATGCTTGTATTCCCTTACTGAACGGAAGGAACGGTTTCCCTACTCGCTTGCTAATGGACTATAGCCGGAACGAGGGCACGGATTATATACCAAGTCTTTCCTATTCTTTTAGTCTTGCGGGTGAAAGCCTCGAAAAAGGCTTAGCCATTTCCTAGCAACACAGGGCAGACTAGAAAGGCGAGAGGATAGCGTAGCTACATGAAACCAAGTCATTCTTTCTAGAATACTTGCGGGCATGCGAGACTGGAACCAAGGCCAAGGGCAGGAACTCCACCAACAGGAAATCCTATCATCAACCAATAGGCCAGGATAGATGTAATTTAGAAGCCGAGGAGCTATAAAAGTCAAAATCAAACTAGAAAGCGGCTCCGCTTGAAGGCAATTCTTAAAAAAAAGCCCAGGTCAAGACTAGACTAGGGGTAGGTGTGTAAGCAGCCAATCCAATAGTGCTTCTTACGAAGAAGTGTTTCAAGTCAGGGCCTAAGGAAGTGAGTATTCCCCTACTAGCCTTTGTTGGACGGTTTCAGGCCAAGAGTGAGAACTGCTTGCCGGATGAAAGTCCCTGCACTAGAAAGAGAAAGAGGAGCATCCAATGAACACCGGGAGAGGGTTGAAAGACATCCCAGGGAAGAAGCAAGCAAGAAAGAAGGAGAGTTAAATATAGTTATTTTTTCAAAAAATAACGCCATAAAAAGTGATGAAAAATCCCATAACAAAAAAAGAAGAGGAAAAACGAAAAACCGGATATAAGAATCAAAAAATATGAAATGAAATTCACATCATCTACTGAAGAAAAAAAAGGGGTCTGTAAGACATACGTCTCAGAATGTATATTGAGGTTCTTGAGTATTGGGTAAATCACATCTAAGAAAGAGTATCTAGAAAAGGTTAACATCCCAAAGGCTAAGGAAAAGCAGTTTGGGGGCGGCCTTGGCCTCACTGAACAATTCTGCTTTTCTTATGAAATGGGGCTGGTGCTTATTGACCCAACCACAATGCTTATGGGTGCAGGTCTTGATTAACAAGTATTGCAAGAATGGTATCCTTGATATGGGCAATAACAACACTCGATTCATCTCCTCGATCTGGCGTGGAATCCGCTCTAATTGGGGTATGGTTCTGCAAGGGCTATCGTGGTATGAGGTTCGCGGATGGCGATCACAGTCCTTCTTCCTTTCCTATTCTTACTCTTCAACTCCCGGTAATCTCTTATTCTTATCTTATGATATTTCTAGTAAGCAAGGCTCTTTTCAAGCCTTAAGCTTCGCTAAAGCTAGTACGTAACTCTTTCATTCCAACCTAGTCCTAAGTAAGGGCAGGGTAGGCAACTTCACTGCAAGCTAGAAGCGAGAGAGCCTATTCTTAAGTTGCAGTACTCCACCAGTAGTATGACCTAATCGATTTAGTTCACTTCAAGCCTTTCCATTCAGGGTAAGAATATATGACAATTGCACTAAAAAGGGAAAAAGACTAGTTACGAGAACGAACAGCCTTTCGAGAGGAGAGGCAGGTAGTAACTTTACCAGACCAGGCGAGGAGCTGCTGACCGAGAGGTCAATGTAATCGAACGAAGTGAAGGAAAGTATGGTATAAGAAGTAGCCTCACTTTGCTCGACTACTGCCGGTCTTGCTTCCGAGTAGCAGTCTTAGTAAGGAGAGTTCTGGATTACCGTACTGAACTTCAGAGATAAGATACAGATAAAGGAAGAATCTGAAAGACAAAGCTTCCCTTATATGACTAATACTTGCTTGACC